ACAATTAAGGTAAATAAGCAATGTGCATGTCAATATTCAAATCATAACAATAATATTAATATGATCAGTGAATCAATGCATAAACAATAAAACTTTTATGCAGTAACGATAAAGTCTATAAATGGTAAAATAATATGGTATAGAAGCCAGTAAAATAGTTCAATAAAGAAATCAGTGAGCCAGTACGTGTGTTGAATTAATAAAGCAACTACCGTATAAGCACTATCAATCAATAAAGAAATCGTATAAAGTTGTAAAACTACGGCATCCATAAAGACTATCAAAATAATATCAATATAGTAAAATCCTATAACTATATATCAGTGCCGAAAAATTATGAAAAAGTAAATGTAATTAAATCACTATAATATTTATATTATAACAAAGAATATTTATGATTTGAACTTATAACAACTTCTAAAAAAAAATTTCGTAGGGTCAAAATACGGGTCATTACACATTTACACCCCCAACCACCGTCAACCACTAACAATGGTCCTTCTAACCATTGTTGCCCGCTGACTACAGTCCCTCTGACCACCACCGCCCGCTGACTATATTCTGAGTTTGTCCCTCTGACCTCCGTCATCTATCAACCACGGTCCATCCGACCTTCGTCACTCGTCAACTACGGTCTCTTTATCTTTCGTCACCCACATACTATGATCCCTTTGATCATTGATGCCCATCGACTATGGTCCCTGTAACCATCGTTGCTCATCAACTACAATCCCTCTGACTGTAATAGCCAAAACTTTTAACTATTGAGTTATTGTCCACTTTGTCCTAAGGGTCTCACGATTTTGTCATGTTTGTATACCTTAATAGGAGGTGAACCATCCCAAAATTTTTTTGGAAGAGTACACTTAACTGCATAATTTCTTAATGCAAATTCAACCATTAAATCAAAAGATACCTCAATATTTAAGAGTTTAGCTTCTTTTACTTAAGAGGTTTCATACTAACCTTCGTCGCCTATCGACTACGGTCATTTTAACCACAGTTGCCCATCAGCAACGGTCTTACCGACCAAACGAACAAATCAATACTCTCTTGAGAATAACTCTCATATCACTAGATTCTTCCAACTCCCACAATATAATGTACTTCAAATTCAACTATAAATATTAGTGAATTCATTTCAACTGGGCTAAGCCCTCGTGGCTTTTCTCCCTTTAAAGATTTTTCACGTAAAAATTATAATGTCTCTTATGACTCTTGTACCCTCTCTCTTATATGTTTATATGTTGAATCTTCACATAAAGCTCAAATGCTAAACATTATATCTCTCTTCTGTCACGAATATTTCAAGACTCAAAAGTTTGGCATCATATGTGGGAAATGATCCTTGGGTGGGGAGCAACCTTTACTTCAACCTTGAAAGGTTGTTCATGTTAAAACTCAGGGCATGGTTGAAGTGAGTTAGTCCCTCTATCATGATTTATTATCAAGTCCGAAATATGTCCTTCAATATTAAGGGCAACATCACTACAATAATAAGTATGTATTATCTCTCATCAACTATCAGCCATTACTACATTAATTATGTGGGAAACACTTCTTGGCTGGGGGCAATTCTTGCTTCAATCTCGAGAGTTCGATCACGTCAACATCTTGGGTATGGTTGAAGCAAGATAGACCCTTTATCATGGCTTTTATCATGTTTGAAAGAAGTTCTTCAACATTGAGGATAACTTCATTACAACAACATGCTTGTATTATTCTATCACATCTCAATCATCAGTTATTACTAGTTCAATTCCATAGGAAGCAGATTTAGATAGAGGGGCAACCTTGGTTGCAATCTAAATTATGGTTATGGTCAAGAAAGTTCCTTTAATATTTTAATTATCTAAAAATAATCTTGCCCGCAATTATTTATCATAAAGCTTCTCACAAATATAATAAGGCTTCAAATGAATCATAAACTCCATATGGTCTACAGATGGACTTCTTCTCTTTGGATAAGGTCATAATCTTGACCTCAAAAAGACAGTAATGGTCTAAAGATAGTCCATTCTTCATCTTTGATTTGAGATACACACGGCATTTGCCCCCTCCCAATCAGGGCATAATCGATTCCAGGGGGATTCGATTCAATCTCTTCCACACAAGTTAATGTCATCGAGCAATGCTTTGACATATAACATAAATAGGTCAAATATCCTTGGTGGATTCCCTTCACATCTTATATATAAGTTAATGCTATCAATAAAATTTTTGGCAAATAATCTTAGATATGTTAAACTTCTTAGTTGATTCCCTCGACCTCTTACATACATGTTATTGCCATCAATCAATATTTTGACAAACAACCTCGAATAGGTCAAACAACATTTGTGGATCACTCTCAAGTTTTTCTTTACAGGTTAACATCATCCAGTAATACTCTAAAAAATGATCTTAAAAAAGTCAAATATCATTGTTGGATTCCTCCCGATCTCTTCCACATATTGGATTTATCTTGACTAGTTAATGCCATCAAGTAATACTTTGATAAGTAACCTCAGAGAGGTCAAACATCTTTGATAGATTTCTCTTGACCTCTTTTATATAGCACTTTAAAGGATCTCTTTTACCCCTTCTTATAAAAAATATCAGAGTTTTGTCTTCATCAGGCCTACACACAATTAATATTGTAGTGTGTTGTTACGCAGCTACCACCAACACACCACCTAACCCCCTTTATTAAGTTATTCATTGTCTATCACTGGCAGCATGGATGTCTACTTCCTTTAATAAAATAAAACTAGACCATCACTATCATCGACCCATCGCCTGGAGACTAATGTTGTCCCTTTGCCTCTTAGACTTTTATTGGGCAATCGTCCGTCCATCGATCGTCGCCCAACCACCGTCTTCAACCCTTCACCTCCTAACATGCATCATTAGTCCCTTACTTGATTACCATCATTGGCACACCCTCCAATTATCGATGTCAACACATCCATGTATTTTCCTATGTAAGAGAGCCAAGTTCTAATTTCATCAACACCACCAATATTTAATCTCTTGTAGGAATATTTTTCCCCTGCTAGGGGAGAGCTGAAACCAACATAAGAGTACGAGGTGGCCACCAGATCTTAATCAGCTCTCCATAATATTTAAACTCTTGTTGAACAATTTTCCTCCCATCGAAAGTAAACTAGAGCTCACATAAGAGAAACGATTCTTGATTGCCGTCACCGCCCTTACACTCTTGCTTGACAAATTCTTCCCCCACTGGGAGAGAACTAGAGCCCACATAAGTGTACGTACTGGCTCTTGATCGTCTCTGCCTTCGATATTAAACTCTTATTGGAAATTTTTTCACATCTCGGGAGAGAATTGGAGCCCACATAAGAGTATTGGATCTTGACTGTCATCCTCGCCGTAATTTAAACTCTCGTTGGATAGTTTTTCCCCACCGGGAGAGAACTTGAGCCCGTAATAGACTACTGGGTCTTGACTGCCTTCAAAAGCCACCAATTTTTGTATGTCCATTTTCCCTGTATTTATAGAAAAATTCTGAACTATTTCAAGAGATTTTTACCTTTTTCCCCAACCCAAAGGGGTCTATTTAAAGATCCAAGAGGAATATTTTTTTAAAATATTTTTCATTATTTTTTTAGGATTTTTTTTGCATATTTATTAAATTAAAAAATTAAAAAATTTTCTTTTTTAAATAAATCAAAAAAGAAAAAAAATATTACATTTAAATATATATATATATATATATATTATTTTCTTTCTGAAAAATATATTGAATTTTTCAAAAAAAAGTAGGATTCTTTTCCAGATTTTTCTATCTTTTTAAAACATTTAAAACATAATTAATAAATAATAAAGTTAGTTATAAAAAAAAATGTTGTGCGACCTTAGGGCAACTCCAATGGAACTTTTCTCCAACCGACCGCCATTTTTGACGTCATTTGATCGCGGATGAACAGTGCGACGCCAATATTGGCGTTGC